CCCCTAAATCAACTTCTTAGGCCAAATACCTACCCCACTGTTTATACTTTAAATAACTCTATAATGCCTCACTCTGTGGTTGTATTATAATTTACTTAGTCTCTCCTTGGACGTTTGTTCTCAACTTTTTGCTTTTTTAAATATGCTATTATAAGAAGAATGTAAGTAACAATATATATATATAAACAATAAATAAAAATGGAAATAATAATGCTATTATAAATAGGAATGTCTTCCTCCTGCCCAATATATCATTGACAATATTGACGCTTATTTATTAAGATAGCTTCTTGGGCTGTTTTATGAAATGCCCAACTTTTTCCAGAAAGACAATTTCTGGTCCGACCTGAAGTATGTGTGAGATATCTTCCCCTCAATTCTTACAGCAGGGTGTGTTCACCTTGAAATTATTTTTTTTCTCATTGACAATAAAACATGCTACTTTAATGAACTTTTACAAAATTGTCAGTGATGTCAAGCACTTTAGTATGTTTCAACTGCTTTGTTTTGATTTGTTGTTTTTTGCTTTTGGTGAATTTGCAAGTATTTTGCCATTCTTCATAGTGTTTTTGTTTTGAGGGTTTTTTTTTTTTTTGCATATTGAATTAGGTTTTTACTCTGTGTTCTGCCGAGGTAAATAGTCTGCTTTTCCCATTATTGATAATTTCCTTTGGGATGTATCTCCCATAAATTTACCCAAGCTCTTTTTGAACTTGTGGGATTTTTATGATCTTCAGGCTTCTAGAAGATTCCCTTGCATTAATTTGCAGAATGTGGCAGATTCCCCTCAGGCTTCCCATTCCCAGCCTGGAGAGCACTTGGTTTTCCTGAAGACTCTCTTCCTCCCCTCCTTCCATTTGCAGAGACTAGAAATACATGAACATTTCCTGGGATTTGTAAAACTGGATCACGCATATCGAACACATTTAGGTGCCTTTTAAATGTGTAAGTATAGGAGGTAAAATTGGAGTTGAGGGACTGGTGAGTTTCTCCCTCTTGAGACCACTTGGGTGTTTTATACCCGAGTTGTCCAGCTAAGTTGCTGTCCATCTTTTCAAGATGGTCACGCTGTTGACTGCTTCTCCTTTCTCCCATGTGGGTGTGCTCCAGGAAGACGCACACGACTTAGCGGGGATATAAAACCCAGTTCTCAGCCTCAAATACTGAGAGAGTGACTCTCCAAAGGAAGTAAAGTATTTTGAGAATGAGTGGGATTATAAATTGGGATATGCATGCTGTGTGGAATCATAGGCTGAGGAGCCTATGGTGGGGGGCATTTTTTTTTTTTTTTGAAGATTGTGTATTTATTTGAGAGGCAGAGCTACAGACAGAGAGAGGAGAGACATAGAGAGGTCCTCCATCTGCTGGTTCACCCCCAGATGACCGTAGCAGCCAGAGCTGGGATGGTTCAAAGCCAGGAGCCAGGAGCTTCTTTCAGGTCTCCCATATGGGTGGCAGGGGCCCAAGCACTTGGGTCATCCTTTGCTGCTTTTCTCAGGCCATAGCAGGAAGCTGGAATAGAAGTGGAGCAGCGGGGACTGGAACCAGCGCCCATATGGGATGCCAGTGCTGCACCCACACAGACACACAAAGTATAGAGTACTGTTTGAATAGTAGTTTTACTGTTAATTTGCATAGTACAACGCATTAAGGACAGAGATCCTACATGGGGAGTAGGTGTACAGTGACTCCCATTGTTGATTTAACAATTGACACTCTTATTTATGACGTCAGTAATCACCTGAGGATCTTGTCATGAGCTGGGGAGCAAATTTTTGAAGGGAGAAAGGAGAAGTCCATGCAGGGTGCTTTGAAACAAGTTTGGTCTATGCAGTGAAGTGATTATAGGCCACAATAACCTATTACATGTTTTCCGAGCAAACAAGAGAGGAGCTCAAAGCTCTAATCGTAAAGTAGTGACAAAGAGAGGGGAAACATTTATTACCCTGATTTTGATCAGTACATGTTAGATACAATTATTGCAAGGGTACACTGTACCCCATAAATATGTACAATTATTGTCAAAAAGATTTTTTAAAAGTTTAGAGATGGGAATGTTAACTAACCTGATTCGATGTTCACATATTGAATACATGTATTGACTTATCTCAATGTACCCCATAAATATATACAATTAAAATAATAATAATAAAAATTATTTGGAAAAAAGCTCATTGGTTTCAGGCCCTTTCACATGTAGCGATGTTTGTGTCGGCCTTGCAAGGAGAGGGTCTTCTCAGAGGCAGCCCGACTGCTGGGGGCAGTTTGGTGAGGCTGCTTGTAAGACTGTGTTGAGGCCTGGCTGTTACTAGAAAGATAGCCTCATAGAAGTGGACTTTCTGCAAGACCTTGGCTTTTGCAGAGTCTTTTGTAATAGTTCGTGTGATTGGGCAAATATGCATGAGGACCACCCATTTGTGGCCTCCCAACTCCACTTTATTAGGGTTTGACATAGTGACTCCATTTTGGTTCTGGCCACTTTCACATACTTCAGTTGCTTGATAACCTTGGACCAAGCACATAGCCCCATCAGGCCTTTCCCCTCAGTGCACAAAGTGGAGGGTGATAGCTCTTACCTCTCACAGTGGATGTGAAGTTTAAGGTGGGGAGGGCTCATGGCCTGCCACGCTAGTGTGGGGTGCCAGTCTGGTCTCACCTTTAAACAGTCTCTAATTAGTGATTTGAATCCTTACATGCAAATAAGGGCAAGAAATCTAGGATTGTATATCTGTCAACTTTTTGAAATCCCTGAGAAGTCTAATTTCATAAAGGAAAGAGGTTATTTTGGCTTAGGGGTCTGGGGGCTCATAGTCCCCAGTCAGGTGGGCCCATGGGTTCAACGTCTAGTAATAGTGTTCTTGCTGGCAGACAGCATCACATGGCAGGAGACAGGGAGTATGCATGCCTGACTCAGTACCTCTTAGTTCTCTGTTCACATAATACTTTGGGGAACTAAGCCTCTGTGTGAGTTTTGGAGCCAAGTCATATTCAGATCCCTTATATGACATCTGCTTTTCAGATTGACCAAGATCCCCGTGGGTGGAACTCCTCTCCAGTCCTACATGGGGAGAAACTCAGAAAAGCCTGACCAGTCCACTGATAGGCCCTGGCCTCAGTTGCTGCGGTTTAAGGGACTCCTTGAGGCGTTGTTCCTATGCCCACTGCAGTCATATCTCCTCTGGTCCAATCCTTGAACACAAGTTGGTGGTGGCCAGGCTTCGGCTTTTAGCGTGACATCTCTCAAGCTACATCCGCATAGTCATTGTGTCCTGTGTCCCCCTGTGGCCTCTGTGCTGGGATAACTGTGTCTGGAGGAAACTGTCCTCAGTCAAGACAGCCCTCTCAGAGGTTAACAGGACCTTGGTATCTTTTCCTGCCAGCAGCCTCAGTTGGAACCATCCTAATTCATCTGGGAATTTTTGATAACAGGAAATTTTAAAAGAGAGCTGGCCACAGTCACCCTACTCCCCCCACCCCCCCGGCCCCAGGCTCCTTAAGGCCACTGTGGGAATCCCAGCCAATCACACGAGTCCTCCCACACTGTCTTCATCAGGACTGGGGTGCTTACCAAACTTGTGTTAACAAAAAATGGCTACTCGAGTAAGAAGGTCCAGAAGGGATTTTTTTTTAAAACTGTGCAGATAGAAGCATCTGACATCCTATCTTAGTAAGTACCAAAGATAAAGTTCTGCTTCACTAGACACAGCCGCGTGTGTGTAAAGCAGCCAGCAGACCCCAGTCACCAGAAGTGCTCAGGAAAGATCAGTTCTTGTCCTCCTCCAGTCCTTCTCAGCCTGGCCACACCTCTGCATCGTTGAAGCTGGGAACACCTCGCTTTCCAGAGACCTGACCCCATGCTCAGAGAGGGCCCATCCTCTGCTTGACTTCACATAATGATGTCCTTGAGCCGACCTCTGATGTCAGAGCTGCTTGCGGGGCCTGTTTACCCAAGGCAAGTTATCCTTTCTTCCAATAGAATTGATCTTACATTTTGTATTCAGTTTGTATTTTTAGGCAGCCAACATGCCCTGTGCATTTTGTCATGGAAAAGAATTTGCCAGTCCAAGAATAAACAGTGCACAGCCGGCTAGTATCCCAGGTAAGGCAGGTGGAGGCGTTGATAAAGTGTGCCTTGTTACTGCAAATAAACTTTCTGCTCTCCGTGAGAAAGGGTGTGGCACTTGCTTGTGTGCAGGTTTAGTTTCACGGAACCATATTGTCATCACTGGTGCTTGCTTAGAATGCACAGAGGGGCCCCTGGGGCACTGTGGTCTGTGGCTGTCCCGGGCTGTCTCCAGATGGCAGACTTTCTCTTGCAAAATTCCCAGACTTTTCCAGGGGGCTCCTGGGCGGATGGGCTCTCCAAAACGAAGTGGCAACTCCCTTTTATAAAAGAAATGAGTTTCCACATGTTTCTTGAGAGATAATCAGGTGCTTAATCCCATATTATTCTTGCAGGTGTTTAATTATTGCCTATAGACACAAATTCTCATAGAAAGAGAAAGAAGAAAAACTGAGACTGATTCCAAAGTTCTTTTGAGATTAATCATATCCCTCCTGACAGTTCCTCCAGTGGTTTACTTTTGCTGCAGTATTTCTACCAGAAACGCTTTGCTAGTGCTGCGAGGTGTGGCTTTGTTTTTTCCGGAGTTAGCCTTTCTCCCTACAGAAATTTGCATCCTGGCTCTCTGAAATCCCTACTGAATTTGGAGAAATTATGTCTTGGCACCCAACCTACTTTCCTGGAACACAATGTAATGCTGACGACACAGCCCAGTCTCTCCACTTGACAATAAGTCTGCTTGTCTCATTTTGTTTGAATATTCAGTGGTGAGTAAGAACAGAAGGAGAGAGCCTTGCTTGCCACATTTTGTGATCGGTTTCGTGCCCATGTTAATGGCCTTTGTAGAGCCACTTTGTGAGTACATCGATCAGATTAGGATGAATCACTTGACCAGCCACCAGCTGTTGGAATGATTCTGCACGCGTGCGTGACTTCGTTGCATTATTGCAAAACGTGGCAGGGTAGAGCTGCCCAGCCTTCGCCGCTGCTGCTCATTTGTAATGCTGCCTTGAGGAGATGAGAGCGAACTGTTGCAGCAGCTCAGTCCACCCTGCCAACGGTTCGGAGGAGGAGCTGCCAGTGGGGCTGCAGGCACATGGCGACCTGGGACTTGTTTTCACAGTGGCATCCGCTGTGATGATGGGCCTGCTCATGTTCTCCTTTGGATGCTCCGTGGAGATCCGGAAGCTCTGGTTGCACATCCGGAGACCCTGGGGCATCGCCGTGGGACTGCTCTGCCAGTTTGGGCTCATGCCTCTTATAGCCTATCTGCTGGCTGTCAGCTTTACTCTGAAGCCGGTCCAAGCCATTGCTGTTCTCATCATGGGGTGCTGCCCAGGGGGAACCATCTCTAACATCTTCACCTTCTGGGTTGATGGAGACATGGACCTCAGGTAAGTGACAGCCGGTCAGTTCAGCCGGCTTCTCCGGATCCTGCCTGGTGGGGTGGGGGTAACGGACACGTTCTGTGTTGCAAACTCTTCCCATTTCCTGATGGGAAACATTGCAGGGACTTGTTCAGCCACGGAAGTGTTTTGCTGCAGTCATCCTCCACTTGCCTGGCAACCAGTGCTGTGAGCGCAGGCTCTGGGTCAGATGTAATAGAGGAGGCAAGTTTCCACCTCGCCCAGTGGCCCTTCCAAAGCACGAGTTCTGCTGACCCAGTCTGATGTCTCTCATAACAGTCTCCCAGGACAGAAGCTGAGAAACGCAAGAAGCTACTATAGTGTTTTTTGGTAGTCATGGTGGTGGTGGCTGTGCCATAACCAAAGGGAGACTTTTGCATCTCTTATCTTTTTTTTTTTTTTTTTTTGACAGGCAGAGTGGACAGTGAGAGAGAGAGAGACAGAGAGAAAGGTCTTCCTTTTGCCGTTGGTTCACCCTCCAATGGCTGCGGCCACTGGCGCGCTGCGGCCGGTGCACCACGCTGATCCGATGGCAGGAGCCAGGTGCTTCTCCTGGTCTCCCATGGGGTGTAGGGCCCAAGCACTTGGGCCATCCTCCACTGCACTCCCTGGCCACAGCAGAGAGCTGGCCTGGAAGAGGGGCAACCGGGACAGAATCCAGCGCCCCAACCGGGACTAGAACCCGGTGTGCCGGCGCTGCAAGGCGGAGGATTAGCCTAGTGAGCCACGGCGCCGGCGTGCATCTCTTATCAATAAGTGTTGCCTCAGTACCTACTTTATGAACTAAGCATAAAGGAGCTTTTGGGGTATCTGGTCGACATATCCTGCTTTAAGTGCTCATAGCGGTCTGTTCTCTTAACATAGGGAACAACGCGGAGGTTCCCGTGGTGAAAATTGTTCTTTCTTGTAGCTTCGTAGAAGCTTAACATTCATCCGTAGACTTACTCCCTTCATTTAAGCCGGTGACCTTATTCCTAATTATAGTGTCACCACATAGCCCTGGGAGGTGCTAAGCTTTATCTTTGTTTATGCTTTAACGAGGAAGAAGTAATCACATGCTTTTTGGAATAAAGATTTTGATGGGGGAGGAGCAAGAGCATTTGAGGAAGAATAGAGGGGTCAGGAGTGTGGAAAAGGAGAGCACAGGCAGTGGTCCTTCTAGGCTCTTTGCTTCCCACCGCGGGCGGGAGGCACTGCGCGTGAACCGACCTCGTGGTCCAGTGTGAATGCGGCCAGCTGAGATTTACTACACGGAGAATGAATGAACCACAGGTGATAAGTGAGCTGGCAGTTGACGTCAGTGAGTCAGCTGCTGGTCTGGGTTCCTGGTTTCCTGCATGTGCTGAATGTTCCGCGTGTGGAACATATTTCACCTATAAATTTTAATGGGTTCATACCACTCACACTAGTAATTAGCCTTTACATGGCAATGTCTTGGTTACCCATTTAGGAGAGATTTGAAAAAAAAAAAAAAATCACTTGATGGACTTTGCTAAGCCGCTAGTGTACATCACAGATTCACATTCAGTAAAGTTAGTTATTCACATAACTGGGACATGATAGACTTTGTATGCAGTTCATGTAAAAGTGATAAATTACAGGACCTTAAAGGTTTTTGGTAAGAACAAGGAAGCTCATGTTTATTAAGTACACTGATAGCTATGGGATAGATGTTCTCTTCTGTGTTCTCATAATAGCCTTGTAAGTGACCTTTTATTATTCTGAATTTTATGGCTGAGAAAATTGTGATCCAGTTTGAATAGCTTGCCACAAGGCCACAAATGAGTATGGCAGAACTCAGATTTGAATTCCCATCTGTTTCACATCAGCCTGCAATTTAGGTACTTCTTTGCGTGCCATTTAGCAACACAACTGGATCTTCTGTTTCGAGTAGAAGCATAAATCTTAAACAGTGTTCTCAAACACTTCTGTGCCGGGAAAGAGAGCATTTATTACCCACAGCTCTTATTAGTCAGCATTGTAATAAAAACACCAATGAAAAGGAAGCCTGTGAAAGATAAAAAAGGTCCTTTTTCCTCCCTTTGCCAACCCTGTCCTTCATTAGCTTTTAACATTGGGCGTATTATTTAGCCTATCTAAGCGTCATGCCCTCATTGGTAAGAGGGGGTGAAAATGGTCTTTCCTTACAAGAGTGTATTTTAAGGAAGAAAAATATAGATATGTATACCCATACACACACGATAGAGATTCAATAACTATTAGCTACTTTCTTCCTTTTTTAAAAAAGATTTATTTATTATTTATCTGAAAGAGTTACACAGAGAGAGGAGAGGCAGAGAGAGAGAGAGAGAGAGAGAGAGAGAGAGGTCTTCCATCCATCTGCTGGTTCACTCCCCAATTGGCCACAATGGCTGGAGCTATGCTGATCTGAAGCCAGGAGCCAGGAGCTTCTTCCAGGTCTCCCACGTGGGTGCAGGGGCCCAAGCACTTGAGCCATCTTCTACTGCTTTCCCAGGCCACAGCAGAGAGCTGGATGGGAAGTGGAGCAGCCGGGTCTCGAATCGGCACCCATATGGATGCTGACGCTTCAGGCCAGAGCGTTAACCTGCTGCGCCACAGTGCCGGCCTCCCCTCCTTTTCTTAATTTTGAGTCTCACAAACAAAACAAAAAACAAGCAAAAAAGAAATCATATGAAATGAACAAAAATTTAAGATTTACTTATTTTGAAAGAGTTGCATAGAGAGAAAGAGACAGAGATCTTCCATTTGCTGGTTCACTCCCCAGATGGTCATAGCATCTCTGGCTGAGCCAGGTTGAAGCCAGGTGCTTCATTCAGGTCGCCCACATGGATACAGGGGCCCGGACTCTTGGGCCATCTTCTGCTGCTTTTCCCAGGTGCACTAGCGGGGAACTGGATTGAGAGTGGAGCAGCTGGGGCATGAATGGGCACCTATTATAGTATGTGGGCATCGCAGGTGGAGGCATTACCTTCTATGCCACAGTGCTGGCCCCATGAAATGAAATTTTAAAATGGGAACTAAAAATTAGAGTCTTCAAAAGCTGATAGATAGAAGACTAATACCATCTTAAATTATTAGTAAAAATAGTAGAAAATGCAGTGTTGTTGAGTAAAACAATATCCAAATTTATTACATTTCTTCATGATTGGTTACCAACAAAAATGACTTTGTAGCAAACATTCAGTGGATGGTCATTGACAAGAATTCTACCTGGTTTTGATGCTGGATATAATGCAAGAACATTTAACGTGGCCTCTGCATTTTCAACTCTCTGCAGCTGACCCCAAACATGTTTTTCATTCCTTTGCCGTGTGCTTCATTCTACTTGTAGTTCTCCATGCGTCCAACCCAAACAGGTGTTCCAGAATCCACAGGGTTGGCGTGGGCATTTGGCCATGGTCAATACTGCTAGGGACACCTGCCTCCATGTCGGAGTGCGTGGGGTTGAGACCCACCTCTGCTTCTCTTCAGCCTGCTGCCAGTGCAGCAGGTGATGGCTTCGTGTGTGAGACCTGAATTGGGTTCCAGGCACCTGGCTTTCGCCTGGCCCAAGCCCCTGTTGTTGCAGGCATTTGAGGAGTGAAGCAACAGATGGAGGATTTTTTTTCTCTCTCTCTGTTCCTCTTTCTTTATATTCCAATGGCTCACCTCATTGCTCACCTTATTCTGCAACCCACAGCCAAGCCCTGCAGTCCATCCTCTGGCTGTGTTGTTCACAGCTCTTGTTTCCTGTCTCTCTCACAGTTCCACTCCTGGCCAGTTGTGGTACCTTTACAACCGTGCTCTGTACCTTCAGCCTCTCCATCGTGGTTTTGTAGTAAGTGGGTAAGGCAGGCTCTCGGGCCAGTTTGCCTCCACTCAAATCCCCACTATGGGTCTCTCTGAAAGTGGAAATCATAACACTTCTCTCATGGTATTTGGGGAGAAAATGAACAAGTTATCCAAATGAAGATTTCTAAATACCTGCTAAATCAGGTAGAAACTACTAAGCCAATATGCCCTTGTTTCCTGGGTTTATTTCCCATTATCCCCTTCAACACAACTGGTCCACAGTCAAAACAGACCACTCACTGTTCTCCAAACACATCCCACGCTTTCCCAGTTTCCTTTTGCCCATGTTGTTCCCAGGGCCTGGGATGCCATCTGGCTCCATTCGGTCCTCTTCAGTGATTACTGTTCCCTTCCTCACCACTGTCTGCAAAGCAAGGGTCTCCTTTGTATGGAGAGCCTCACAAATTATCCTGCCCCTGCCCCTGGGCAGAGTTGGATCTGGGCTGCCTTCTTCCGTGTGTTTGGGGATTGTGTAAATGTGGACTGCTCTCAGCTGGGGCAACTAGGCACTCCTCCAGAAGGTCTCTCATTTCCCAGTGGGCTAGCCTGGGCCTACTCACGTGGCAGTGGTGGGGTCCTGAGCCGGGGAAGCATGCTAGGTTTCTTGAGGCCTGGACTTGAATCCCGGTTCACCGTCACTTCCACATTCCACGTGGATTCCAGCGGTGCGGAGGTAGATTGCGCCTTTTGATGGGTGAGCTGTACAGTCACAGTGTGGGGAGCTTGGACAGGGAGGGTTGAAGAGTTTGGGATGTTTTTGCGATATGTTGTGATGGGGATGGACAGAATTCCTGCCTTTGAGAGAATGACATGAACATGAAGATGGGAGGCCCAGTGCAGCAGTCCCACTGATTGCCCGGGAAACAGGAAGCAGATCTGTCACGGACAGGTCGTCTTGGCAGACTGTCAATTCTCTGTGCTCCGGTTTCCTTGTTTCTAAAATGAGGAGAAATATACCTATCTCAGGATTGTAGTGTGGACTGGACAATTTAGATCAGGCGCCTGTCTGAACTGCTGGTGCTGTGTGAGGTAGGCACAGAGCCCCGTTTGTGGGTGTCTCTGTTTCAGCCTCTGCTTAAGGAGCTGTGTGCTTTTTTTTTTTTTTTAATTCAGTTTACCTCTCTGTCTTCAGTTCCATCATCTGTAAAAGGCTTCTCTCAGATCCTCTTTATACT